CACGATCAAGATCATGAGCTCTTTGTGAGTCAATATAAATTACAGCTTCAATCATAACTTTTATTATTATAGTGAATGAATATTTTTTCGAACATAAATAACTCCCAAGTTAAAATAGATGTTCACCTAACCCTCGTATTCCGCAAATGCTCACCTTTTTTACCTATGTCCCATGTGCGTCTCAATACCACGAACCACATAACCGCAATAATTAACAGGGTAAGTAACATATATGCTGATAGCGGTGACATCAAAGTGCTTGCTACAATGGGAATTGTTCCTATCCCTTCTATTGAAATCTGAGGATGCGGTTCAGTCAATGAGGGAGTATAATTTTCCGGCTGTGCAAGGTATGGAGTCACATTCTTTATTTCTTGAGATTGGGGTATAATATCCTCACCAATTTCATTAATGCTGGTTTCATCACTTACTTTGGAATTAATCTTGGTATCATTTTTTGGTAGTTTGGTAATCTCATCATTGGTATATGTCGAGATATTACCATCAATTTTTTCTATTGGATCCATATTTTTTCTGCGTACAAAATATTTACTTAGATCATTATCCTTGATTATATTTTTTTCGTCATCTCCACCAACTATGGGTTTTGGTATAGTCTCCGATTTCAAACGCTCAAGCTCACTAATATTCGAAACCAATTCGTTCTTTAGATCTACCAATTCAGACTTGAGAGCCACGATCTCAGATTCTTTTTTCGATGAGTCGTTTTGAATAGAAATCACATCTTTCTGGGCTGAAGATAACTTACTTTCCAATATCTTAACCATAGACTCAAGCGATCTAATTTTCTTGGATTCATTCTGAGTTGAAGATAGTTTCGTTTCTAATATTTTTATCTTAGACTGGAGATCTTTTATCTTGATTTTAGATTCATTAAGGGAAATATCTTTGCGGGTAATTTGATATATTAAACTATTTATTTCTGAGTTCAATCGCTTAACCTCCTCTATAAGCTGGTAGGCCTGCTTGGTAAGTATCTCTTTATCTTTACTGGTTTTATTTAGATCACGTTGCAATTGTGCTTTATCCTGTTTAATATTTTTACTAAACTCTGAATATACTTTCCGATAGTTTTTTAAATCCTTAATAAGTTCAGAATTAGTCTTACAACTATCACGTAAAGCTTCTTCAAGTTCTACCTCCCTAGTACTTCCAAGTCAATACCCTTTTGGGTTAATATCTCGTAATGTGCGTATATTAGCCATGTATTTTTTCTCATATATGTATAACAAAAATATATTAAATATTTATATCAATAGGTATCAATAGGCATCAATCTTAGGTAACAATAGGTATCAATAGGTATTAATATATATGAATACATATAATACTCATCAATAGGTATCAATACGTTTTGAAAAATTATTGAAACTTTTTTTTTTCTAATACATATATATCTATCTTAAGATGCTTACCCATATTCATCAAAAATTTTATCGATCCAATGCGACTCATTTATCTGAATCTGTTATTATAGAAATTAGAGAATCAAGGGGGAAGATACCAAATGCATCAAAAAGAATGGCAGAAAAATTTCATATTGGTGCTCGTCGTGTTTATGAAATATGGGAGCACAATGAACGTTTACAACAAGATCTTAATTCTCCATCACCTTCTGATTCTGATAACTCTTCTATTTTAAATGATTTTAAAAACAAGAAATCTTCAGCTATTGAGTCATCAATTAAAAAAATAAAATCCAAACCTGTTCGTATTTTGAATCAACCTTCTATTAATAAAAATTTAACCGGAAAGTTAAGCGCAATATCATTAGAAGTAAAAAAAGAAACTATACTACCTGAAACTTCGCAATAGTACACTTATGGTAGTTGACACGTTTAAAGATGAATCTAGCCGTCGTCATCTTGCATCTTCTATTGGTTGCGAGCTTCCTGTTGATAGTGATGATCCAAAAGAACTTACCTATTATATGGCAAATGTTGCAGAATTCGGCTTTGATCATATCATTATAATTGGGGAGCTTGAAAATGGAATGATTTTTTTGGATTGCTATGGTCGTGTGTTTCAATGGGAGGAAGAATGTCAGATGTTGTGGCCACTCGGAAATTCTTTGGAAGAAGCAATGTCAAGTGACGGGAAAAATCAAGTGCCATGGTATTGGGAGTATGATGGAGCTGTATATGAGTTCAAAGAATTACTTCAACGTATGTGCAAAAAATGTTATTGTAATGTTGCATTAGTTGCAGATAACTTTATTTAATATTTTTATATTTATTCTAGAAGGATCTATTGATGCAAAAAAAAAAATTAACAAGAGATCAAAAAAGAAAAAACGTTAATAATATATTAAGAATATGGAGATACATGAAAAAAATGCGCAAATCGTTAATTATGTTCTGCATTATTTTTGCGAAATACACATAGCAATTTGAAAAAAATAGTAAAGATGTATTTGAAACTGCCAAGTTAATAAAGTTTTGGAGCTTATTTTGTTTGCCTTTATGTTCACTTGTGTATTGGAAAAAATAATAATATGCTTATTTTATTGTATCATCATTATGAACGTTTAAAGTTATGAGTTTACTAAATGAGACCCAATTCTCGAAGATGCTCTGGAATAACTATATATGGGTCTTCATAATACCAGACATACCTTAAAACAATCCAGTTTTCTTCGCACAATTCATTCTTGAGTTGATCCTGCTTTTGTTGCCGGACAAAATTATTAGGATCTCCTTTATGAAAGAATTTATGATATCTTTCATGTTGAGATCCCTGGACTTCAATAGCAAAACCGTAATTATAGTAGGGAATGTCAAGTTCCAATCCATTTGGATTTTCAGGAGTTTTCAAAAATTCTGGTCTACGATTTGCTGATGGAGAACCAAGATAATTTGATACTATTTCTCGACATAAATTTTCATACTTATTTTTACAATATGGACACCAAGTATTATGATTTCGAATAACATAAAATGATGTACACCAAGTATGTCCTTCAGCGCATTTCCAATAATATAAATCTTTAGATTTGGTATATTTTTTAGAAAGGCATTCGCCACCACGCAAACGAGCAGTTTTTTGCAACTCATCAAGGTTTAATTTAAATCCACGTTTTGCACATTGTGGACACCAAGTATTATGATTTTTTATACTATTAAGGGATGCATACCATATATGCGATTTATTGCACTGCCATAATAATGGAGTTATATTATTAATATATTGGTTGGAAAGGCATTGCCCACCACAAACTTTAGCAATTATACGAGCTTCTTTTAAAGTAAGACGAATATTGCCTGCACAATATGGGCACCATTTACCATGATCTTTTATACGGTTAAGAGGCGCTAACCAAATATGACCTTCCTTGCATTTCCATTCTAAGGGACTTTTGGCATTGATATACTGAGTGGAAAGACATTTTCCATTACATTTTTCAGCAATTATTCGAGCATCGCTTAAAGATAATTTTTTCATTATAATAGATTGTTACTTTTAATAGATAAGATATATTTTTAATATAAAATCACGGCTGGATACATACATCTTTGCAAAGTAAGATATGAAAGCGTCACTACAACACAGGACAGGATTCGATCATCTCAAAAATATGAGTGGCAGATAGGATGTATGATATATTATATAGACAGAAATATCAGGAAAA